GAGAGAGAGAGAGAGAGCTGAGACTTGGTGTGAGAGAGAGAGAGAGAGCTGAGACTTGGTGAGAGAGAGAGAGAGAGAGCTGAGACTTGGTGAGAGAGAGAGAGAGAGCTGAGACTTGGTGTGAGAGAGAGAGAGAGAGCTGAGACTTGGTGAGAGAGAGAGAGAGAGAGAGAGAGAGCTGAGACTTGGTAACTAGTCGGGCTGTTTGCCCAGACTCGGACATTGTATTCTGGACAGAGACTTTGGGGGACTTTTGTGGAGACTATTCTTTCACAGGGCTATCGAGTGGCAGTCTCCCCCTTCTTCTCCCCTCTTCGTCTCTACCTCCATCTCCTTCGTCTGTGGATGTATTGAGGGCATGGGAGCTATCTTCTGTGTGTGAGCCACCATGCTCGTCCCTGTGCATGAGCGATGATGTATGTATGTAGGCAGTCCTGACTCCCGATGAGTCAGATTTGTCTGTTTCAGTCTTCCGCTGCATTGTTGTTGTTGTTGTTGTTGTTGTTGTTGTTGTTGTTGTTGTTGTTGTTGTTGTTGTTGTTGTTGATGGTGATCCTTGGATTCTGCACCATGCCTATTGGATACTTACAGGCATGCGACATCTTTTCTTGCTGTTCACTTACGGGTGAGCGGCGCTCACTTACATATTTTATATCTTTCGTAGTCGCAATTGTGAATTCCTTTCTTTATTTTTTTAATTGGCTTTTGTAATGGCTTCCTGAGTTATTTGACACTTCTTTTTTCACTCTCTCTCCACCTGAACTTTGAATTCAGTTTTCGCATAACTGTTCCACTCCTTGGGATGGCGGTCATTCCCGTTGACGAGCATCATGGTGACGGTCCAATCTTTCTGATCGGGCTGGGAGCTGACCGAAGACTGCGTAGGTTTTCCCTTACGGAAACTATTCAGGGGTATCTTGGTGTGGAAAGTCGAATAAAGCTTCCCGATCTTGAGACTGCAGGACATGCCAAGCTTGGGTCTGCTGTGGGTATGCTTCCTTTTGTTTTCTTTTTTCTTTTCTTTTTTTTCTTAAAAAAAGAAATTGGACTATTTCTCGATTTATGTGTGTCATCCTTGTGCAGGGGCCATGCTAATCTTCTCTGTATCGTTCCAATTTTAACGGATGTCCCAAAGGACTGTTTTTTTTTTTTTTTTTTTTTAAAGAGGAAGATTGCAGTTTATATTTAAAGGCGGAACTGAGGCCGGAAACTCCTCAACATATCAACCCGGAGGTATCTGGGGCCAGTACCCAGCTTAGGCTCGTGCTGGAAACAGGGTCCAGCGTCCCATTGACTGCAAACTGGGTATGCTTCCTTTCTTTCTTTACTGCTTTTTTTCTCGTTTCAAAAAGGGGAACAGCCTTGATATATCATCCTTGAACTGGCTGGCCCCAGATAATTTCAGAATTAAGAAAGGGTTGTGGGGCGTCGGGAATATGACGCAAGGAGGAAGTCCGGCAGGGGGCTTCATGCGCCGAGCTCAGCCCACCTGTCGGCACAGCGGGCCCATCCACTAACTCAGGCATCACTCAAGATCAGGACTCACAGGGAAGGAGGAGAAGAGAGACCTTGCCACACCTGGGAGTATCAGCCTGGACCGGAGCTACCCGCCAGGGTGCAACCCCTTCGAACTCAGGGTCGTGCATCCCCGAGGCAACCGGCCGGGAGGCAAATGCACCGCTGCCACCAGATGCTGTGGGGATGAGAGTCACTCCTGCTAGGAAGGGGGTGAACCCTTCCTTCACTCCTCCCGTACTCATCGCCACGGAGCCTGCCCCTCCTGGAGCCGTCTCCCCCCACCTCCTGGCTGTGTGCGCGCTCGGTGTGTGAGTGGTAGTGTGGCAACCTAACGCCCTGCCGGCGGCCCATGCACGAGGCTGCGGGGTTTTGAGCCCGCAACCTCAGACCACAATGTGCATTTCCAAGCGGTGCCCTAACCACTGGGCCATCCGCCACTGACGATAATTCAGAATTATTTTATGTCATTCATCTGGATTCCAACTTGGGTCTGTATTTCAACAGTTCATGGGTGTACCAACTGGGCTAGGCTCATTGTTACTTCCTTTTATTTTTGCTTTGTCTTTGGAACCCAGTTGTGCTGTTGGTATGCTCCACCTTTGTTGTCCCGCTTTTCTGTATGTACCAGTTGGTACACCCATGAACTGTTGAAATACAGAGTCATTACAGACCCCCTTTTATTTTTGCTTTTCTGTACATAATACTTTGCTTTGTCCTCATGTCTCCCTTGTTCGTGTATGTACTACGTATCCATGGTGTCAGGCTGGAAGTCATCATCATATCCGTTTCTAAGTATGTAACCCATTTTATCCGGTCAGATTTCATTAGGATCCGAAACCATGATCCGTTCACTAACAGTTATAATGTTTGCACCATTCAGCCACATGGGCTGGATATCAGCCCTCATCATACAGTGTCAGCCCTACTGTCTTCACCCGAATAGAACGCCCGGTCATTATAGCTGCATTTGGCACATTCAGTCCAGATGCGGCAATAATTACCGGGTGTTTTATTCGGGTGTAGACAGTAGTCCAAAACAAGCTGCCAATCCTACTCCTCAAAAAGTCCCCTTTAGCATGTGTTGCAGGTCTGTAGCCCATCTAGCTGAACGGTACTCGTGTAACTGCTACTAAACAGAGCATGAGTTCGAATCCTGAGTTAATCGGATAAATACAATAATTTTTGGGGCTGGAATCGGATGAATAGTAGAATACGATCATGTTTGGGGCTCCGCCCCTTCAACCCGAAAACTTGAAAAAACTTCAAAAAAGGGAAATCTTGCTGCAATCACAGTACAATCGTGTCAAATGCTTAACAACTGGACAAGCCAGTTCAGAATTGTATCTTCAAATGAAGATTTTAAGCTTTATCGAAATGAAGATCAAAGCGTACCCAGATAATTAACTTATTAGGACGTGTCACGTTTGTTATTAAAAAAAGAAGAAAAAGAAAAAAGGACGAGGGAAACCCATTCATCCCGCACTGGCTAGGCGCAATATGGGGCATCCTCCCTCTGATCTATGGCAGGGAGACTCAGAAGGGAAACACTGTGCTTGGCATGAAAAGCAGACTCGGTGGCGGTGGACGGGATGGATGAAACGAGGAGTCTATCGGGGGTCTTATGCGATGGTTGAGTCAACGATGAGTTGTAGTACCAACCGTGGAAATATGGTTGTACTTGACGCAGCGTAGTTCTATTGTCACTGACAGAAGACTTGCAATGATACTCTTCACCCTGTAGATGACTCGCTGAGGCTATGATGAGGAGTGGCACGTGATTGTCCTTTATCCAACAAACAATGCTCCACGATTGTTCTTTATCCAACAAACAATGCTCCACGATTGTTCTTTATCCAACAAACAATGATTTTTCTACAGCTCGGCGTTGTGGTTAGTCAAGGTTGAAGCCTTCACTCCCTCGATGAGACTGCTGACTTCTTTGCTTGCAACGACAGGGTAGATCTCCACCAGTGCTCAATCGGCGTTGTGATTTGAGTGCATGCCACGGGTGCACGGTTGGAGAGGGAAAACTCCTCGCCCCTCTGCTTATCGCGACACTTTTTTATGCACAGTACCTTCGCTATATCTTAATAAAACATATACGGGAGCCGGCGGCATTGCTTTCTTACTTAAATGCCGGAAAGTTCTTCTGAACCAAGGCTGCAAACCCGGTAGGACCGGGGGGCCCTCCCCCAACCGGAACCGAACCGGTCCTACTGGCCGGTCGACCGGGCCGGTTCCCCCCCGTTTGGCCGTAGCACATCTTTTTAATTTTTTATTTTTATTTTATTTTTAAAAAGGCCCAGGGTGTTGTAGAGGCCAAGGACTAGATCCCCGGTGATTGCTGGTAACAGCAGCCGGTAGTTGTGCTGACAGGATAGGCCACCTTTCCTACCCTTCCCCCCATTAATGCTCCCATCGCACCCCCTATCCCTACTATCCTACCTCAGTGTGACCAGCACTCAGGACCATCACCCTACCAGTATCGAGGGCAACGTGGACCAGACAGCAGTGACAAACACCCGCTCACACTATCACCCCCACCCTCCTTTTCAAAGTTTTTGGGTGGGAAGTACCGTCCCTACCCTGCCAGTAACACCTCCAGCCCCCTTTTCAAAGTTTTTGGGTGGAAGGTTAACGTTTGCAGAAAGCCAGGTACGTTGTTGTCAATGTCTGCTGAAGCCTGTGGTTGCTGAAACCCCTCCACCAACACCCTCACCATAACCCCCCCCAAACGAAACTTCTCTGTTCAAAGTTTTCTTTGCGGATTCGGGGAGATCTCGGCGAGCGCAGTCCAACCATGTTTTCAATTTTTTTTATTTTTATTTTTTTGACCCACTTTTGGGACCAACCGGAATTCCGGTTGGACCACTGGGGGTCCAACCGGCCGGTTGCCGGCACAGCCATGTTCTGAACAGTGAATAGGGTTGCCTTTGTATCCCCTGCCATTTAATGCAGGCTGGTCGACACGAGACATCCTCTGTCTTGAGCTATGGTCCTTAAATTAGTTTTCAACTTACTCCCCCCTCCCCCCCCAACAACACTACCCCCTCTTCCCCCCGCTTCCCCCGTGCAGATTTGCCCCCAGGTTGCATTTTTTTATAAGCACAGTGCAGTGTCATCTGCCGATTGGTTAGCAGACAGCTGACTGGCCCGGTCTGGCTGTCTGCAAAACCGCCGGCCATCAGCATTGGTGGTTGACGGGCTGCGCACCCTGAAAGGGCAAAAAAAAATTAGAAAGATTCTGAAAGACCCTGTACAACCCGCATCTGGACTGAAAGGTGTGCCAAGTGCATTTCCTGGTTCTCATGCCTGCCTGTGTTTCCCTCCCCTCTTTTTCTTTTGCCCTCTAATTGCTTGCAGCCATTTCTCAAGACGGAGGGATGCTGGTCACCGGCGCTTGTGATGGAACTCTTCACGTGTATCCACTTCAGGGCAAGAGGTTTCCTCTCGTACCGTCGGATGTACGGGTGTTAAGGCTCCATGACTCATTCGTAGGTGGTGTCCTCACGATCGTGATCGCTGGTGGCCGCATTTTTACTGCTGGATGCGATGGTGCGATTTTTGCTTGCGACGGTGCGGAAACTGCAGCTTTGAGGGTGCAGGCCCAGTCCAGGCTCAGAAGCATTGGAGGCCTGACAAGGCGGGAGAGAGGAAGTTCTGTGCAACGCAGGGATGAAGATCAGGGAGCCACTGGAAAGACTGCAAGGGAGTGGGATGACCGTGCCAAGGACGTGGATGAACCTGATCGTCCGAATGAGCTTGACATTCTGGAGCAAGAGGCAGAAGAGAAGGAACAGATGTAAGTATGCCTGCTGTTTCTTTGTTGTTGTTGTTTTTTCCCCTGAAAACACACACACATGCACACACAAGAGCCCCGTCCATTCTCGGGGGGGCAGTCCGGTTACTTATCACCGGGAAGCATGGGACAGAGTTCAGAATAGCAGAAGGGAAGAAACAACAAATGGTACAGTTCAGCCTCCCACCTCTGTCGCACTACAGTATGCCTTCCGTTTCTTTTTGTTTGTTCCCCTTTCCCCCCCCTCCCCCCTTCTCCCGAAAAACAACAAGCCCCTTCTGTTCTGGGTTGCGTCAGTGCGGTTGCTTATCACCACCAAGCATGAGGATGAGGCCGAAGAGAGTAAGAAAAAGAGTCAGCCTTGCCCTTGCAGCACTAGTCATCTGCACAAGGTAGGGACTGTTACGGATTGTCCCCCCCCACAAGCCTTGGCCTTCCTTGAGGGGTGCTTCTGCTGGCTGGGAAGCTTACTGGTAGCACCCAGTCATGCAGCAGAAGGATCCCAAGGGAGGCGGGGTGTGGGGGGCCGCTTTCTTGACAGTCTCTCAGGCCACATAGTTCATCCCATCTCTCACTTGTCTCATAGTCCTTGTAACCTTTGGTGTCCCTCGGTATCCCTTAGTGTCCCCTTTGATATCCCTTTTATCATCCCTTGTATATCCCTTTTATCATCCCTTGCTTTACATTCCTTGTACTTCCTTCGTGCTGTCCGTAGGGCATCCGTCTACCTTCCTTTCCCTTCCCTGTCGAACCCTCTTTGGTCCCCTGTTTCTTACTTGCTCCCCTAGGTCATCTTGACTTATCCTGAGTATCCCTCCTTTTCATTTAGTTTAATTAGTTATTATATATTGAAACCTGAAAGTTAAAACCAAACCGTGGGACCCCTCTCTGCAGAACATCTCCTTCACACACCCTTTTGCAGTTTAGTCGAAGATTGTTAGCACAGCTCTCACCTGGCGTTGAAGGGGTGTTTCTCATTATAATAATGAACACATCCCGTTACAGGGCCGCGACTGGCTGGGACCAGAGAGGGGGGTGGTGAAAGAAGGGTCGGGTAGTGGAGGTCAAAAACAACAGCTGCAGGCTGCCAGCTGCCTGCAGTTTGTGGATGTCCTGCTGGCTGTTTTTGGTTTCCTCTGTGCATGCCCCTCTTGCAACTGTTGTTTTGTATGTTGTCCCGTGTTTTTGTCTCGTCTCCTCCGGGGATGCAGAGTACCTATGTCAGTGTTTTTGTATTTTCCTTCATCATCGTTGTTTTCCATTCCTTGCATTCCCCTGAGAGTCTCAAACCCCAACCTGTATTCGACCGGGAGCGTCCAGCCATTTCAGCAAAAGTATGTAGTATCCCCGAGCTGTATTTGAACAGCTGCTCAGCAGCTCCAAGCTGCTCCAAGCTGCTCCAAGCCGCCCCAAGATGCTCCAAGCTGCTCGGATGTGCACCGAGCTGCTAGGCGAGTACCTAGGGGTAGTCTTTCTTTCTTTTTTGATCCAGCTCACTTACATAGGGTTCTTTTTCTTGAGGAGGGGCGGTTCTAGGGGCGTAGGCAAGTATGTTGGGGTCTGGGGTTCACTTTTGTTTTTTAAACAATCGCATGTGTAGCTCACACCCTTGGCCTGGGTCAGCTTGAGAAAAGAACAGCTCACTTACAGAATGCTTCTTTCTTTTTGGGGTTCCATTTAGGACACCCCACCCTACAGCGTACTGCCCACCTCACACACCACCACCCACCACCCCTAATAGTACCATCCACCTCTCATAGTATCATACACTCCACATAGTACCACCCACTTGACATATCACTCAGCCCCCAGCCCACGTTGTACTATCCGGCACCCATACCACCCAGCCCACACAGTGCCAGCCAGTGTACATAGTACCAGGCCCACCTAGTACCATTCAGTGGACATAGCACCCAGCGCACATAGTCCCACCCAGTGCGCGTAGCGTCCAGGGCACACAACACCCAGCACCTATTGCTCAGTCCACATTGTAGCACCTGGCAGTCTGGCACACATAGGAGCCAGCCATGTGTGTCACCCAGTGTGCGAAGTACCCAGCATGCGCTGTGGGCACACATGGCACTGCACTCCATACAATAGCAATCACTCTTCCATTCTCTCCTGGATTCTGTGGCCTCCTGTGCTGCCTCTCTCCGTGCCAGCTGTTTGTCGCTTCCTCCGGCCCTGTTTTGTATTGTTTGTTCTCAGTGCCAGTTGTATCGCGTCGCTGCCAAACCAGCACACGTAGTACAAATCCCCCCACCACACATAATGCCACCCTTCCCACCACACACACTACCGCCCAGCCACAACGCTTACTATACCGCCCAGGCCACCACGCATATGACTGTCCGGCCCCGGCCGGCGGCCACACATAGTTCCACCCTGCCTAGCCACATAGTAGCACCCAGCCCACATGGCGCTACCGAGCACAGGTAGCAACTTAGCACCCACCTCACCTGCTGCACAGAGCACCACCCACTATACCCAGCCGACATACTCTCACCCACTGCACATGGCACCCAGTCCACATAGTACTGCCCACTCACTGCACATGCCACCCAGCTCACATAGTACCACCCATCACACATAGCGAAGGCTACACATAGCAGCCAGCCCTTATATCAGCACCCACTGTACATAGTACCAGCTAGGGCACACAGCAGCCTACCTCTACATAGCAGCCAGTTCTACTACGTAGCATCCTACTGTCTTCACCCGAATAGTACGCCCGGTCACTATCGCCGCATCGGGACTGAAAGTTTGCCTCAAATGCAGCTATAATGACCGGGCTTTCTATTCGGGTGAAAACGGTAGTTGTATCAGTGCTGCCGATACACGTGCAGAGTAGGGAAGCAATGACACTCCATTTTTCCCCCTGTCTTGAAGTGCACGATCCCAGTTCGTCCTTGCTTGCCTCTACCTCCTTTCTCCCCCGTGCCTTTCCTACACTGCTTCTTTCTAGAACCCCTAGGGCACGTGTTCTCCACTTTCTGGCAACGAATACTTAAAAACTAATAAAAAGTTAATACATATCATGAATTTCTTCTCCACCTTCTGGAAATCTTCTTCTTTTGTCGTGATGTGCGGCATGAGCACATACTCTTCGAATCGCATCTTTTTCTTTTCCATAGCTCTAGTTCCTCTTCCATCTTGTGCATTTGCCTACATGCTCTCTCTGCCTATCATTCAGACCACTGCTTGCCTGCCCCATCCATACTGGTTTACATTTGGGGAAATCTGCCTCCTGACGAGTTGGTGAAACTCGACCGAAACAGTCTGTCGCAGCCCTTCGTTTGTTGTCATTTTCTCCCTTTCTGCACACCGTTCACCCCCCGGTTTTCTACGACCATATATTGTCACAGCCCCTCATTTGTTGTCCTCTTCTCCCTCTCTGCCTACGGTTTACCGGGCAGTTCTATTTGACGATATATATTGACGATATATATATATATATATATTTGACGATATATATACAACGTGGCGAGCCTTGCACGTGAGAGGCACAGTGGAGGTGGAGTTCAAAGAAGAATGAGAAATTTAATGGTTTCAATCTGCCCTTGTTTTTTCTTTTTCTTTTTATTTTTGCATGTTATCACTGTGCCCGTTTTTTGCTTTTATTCTTTGTTCCGCAAAGTGCGCTCTTTTAGTTTGTAGTGATGTGACAATATATATAGCCTCCTGATGAGTCGGTGAAACTCCGACGAAACAGTTTGTCACAGCCCCTCATTTGTTGTCCTCTTCTCCCTCTCTGCCTACGGTTTACCGGGCAGTTCTATTTGACGATATATACAGAAGAAGAAAGATTTTTAGTTCCTCAAGACCTTATAGCAGCAATTAATTCTCTTATCGAAAAAAGCTTTAAAATAGTCAATTTACGTCAGTAATCAACGTAAATACAGAGAAGACGTTGCTTCGTGCCTTGCCACGTCTGGTCTGGTATCCCACCGGGCAGTTCTATTTGACGATATATATGTTTGTGACGATATTCAGCCTCCTGATGAGTCGGTGAAACTCCGACGAAACAGTTTGTCACAGCCCCTCGTTTGTTGTCCTCTTCTCCCTCTCTGCCTACGGTTTACCGGGCAGTTCTATTTGACGATATATATGTTATATATGTGTGTGTTACTTATGCAATATGCATGCTAGTTCCAGAGAACTGGACTGTGAAGAGTAGGAAGAAAGAGAGGAAGGACAAGAGATGAGGGTGTCAAGAGGCTGTTTGTATATATCGTCAAACGGGATATATGATCTATGTGCACTCCTTCAGCATCCTTCGAGACAGACGCAGTCAGCGTCTTCCCCAATCCAGGTAATCCTGACATTCTTTGTATTTTCCAGATGATCCTGAACATATGCACTCAAGCTATCCGGTTCATAATGGCAAGTGCTGCAAACACGAACCTCATCATCGTCTTAATCGACTCATAATTTCCTAAATCCCACACTTTCATGTTAATAGTAACTTAAAATAGACTCCACATTGTCCGCAATGCTATACTATCTCCCCTTCCCCTCTGTCGCCCAATGGCTAAGGACCGCCAGCACCTCACACAGAGGTCAGAGTCATTGCTGAGATCATCTCTGTCAGTTCGATACTGGGTCTGCAATGACTCTGCATCCACATGTCCGGGGGGACCACCACTCCCTTCGTTACTCTTTTTTTTTTTTTTTTCCCCTTCCGTGCTTCTTGGTGTTGCTCTTCGGTTAAAGTCATCGGTTCTTCTAGACGTCTGTTGAAATTGGAATAACACGGAGAAGATTCACATGCGGCCTGTGCATGCAAAGATTTGCACTCAGAAATCAAGAGAAGAACAATCTGAACTGAGGCAATGTTTCAGGATTGATTCGCTCCACCTTTGCCGCGTGGAAAAATAGCAGGCCTCGGGTGGGCCTCCGACCTTTTCGGAGGCGGAAACAAAACGACCGCCGCTGATCAGATTTATCAATGGCAGCCCTCGTCGGGCCCGACCTCCAAATTTTTAGGAGTTGGGAAAACTGCCACTTTTCCCTATTTTCCCAACACTGGCGCCGGTACTAGTGGTTCAAACTTCAAAGCCTTGCTTCCTATTTTCATTGCCACTGGAGCACGTGTGTAGCCCAGCCCATAAGGGACATGCGGACTTGACGCCAATCCCCACCTTCCTCCAGTATATCACTGGCAGTTTTTTGTGAGTGCAGCACATCATTGCGATGTCTTAGCAACACAAAACAAGGGTTGCGCTCGTTATCGGGCTTAACCGAGTGTCTCACGACACGAGCTGACGACAGCCATGCAGCACCTGCATGAAGTCAAAGTACATCTCTTATGAGGAATGCTTGAAATAGGCTAAAGCCGACAGACATCATGACATACCCTCATGCCAGCCAGCTCCTCAATCACATGATTTGGCTCCGTATGCCCTCTCTGGAACGTAATTCTTTCAGCGCCACCCTTGGTTTATTGGTACCAATATGCGAGTGCGCGCCCATCTTTTCACAAAAACAAAACAAAAAAAACAAAAAACACCTTGCTGACATGGACCCAAAAAAAAAAAAAAAAAAAACATGGACGCGGTCACCTAACTGAAATGCTGACGCCGAGCCACATGAATTCAACCAATCGTTGACAAACCTAACACAAGTGGATGACCCGACCTAACACAAGGGGATGACGCAAACGACCACAAGAGGGCCTCAGTTCGAACTTTCCGCTTGTCAAGCGGCCGCACAACTTTGTTTTGGAAAATACTCTGCATCTCGAGAACATGAAGTTGGAAATGCTAGTAATCTCGGATTACCGTGGTGTGTGGTGGTGGTGTGGTGGGTCCTTCGGGACATCCGTTAAAATTGGAACGATACAGAGAAGATTAGCATGGCCCCTGCGCAAGGATGACACACATAAATCGAGAAATGGTCCAAAGTTTTTTTTTTTAAGCATATCACGGTGAATATGTACTCAGGCCTTGTACACACTGCCCATCACGCCATGGGAATTTCTTTTGCCGGAAATCGTCTCTATGTTCAACCAATGACTTGGGATGAAACCTAAACAAAGAAGTGGGTGGTTACGCGCCACGATGACACAGACCCCCTGACCTGATATTGCCTCCAACAAATCGAGTGATTTAATTCACGAAAGTATGCGCTCCCTGGGACATAATTCTTTCAGCGCCACCCTTTGTTTATTGATACTAATATGGCGTCCAACTCTTCAATCGAGCGATTTAATTCACGCATTCAGTGCACTCGCTGGAACATAATCCTCGCAGTGTCGCACTTAACATACTGGTAAGGTGTCTCCTTACTTAGGTTTGGAAGTATATGATGCCAGCACACGTGCAGCGCACTGACATTCCGTTCCATTTCCACGCGGTAACAATTTGGGGGGCAGGGTCCCACTTGCATGGATGTTTCATTCCTGGTTGTTGATCTCTGTGATCTACGATCAGGAATGAAGGATCCGGGTAAGTGGGACCTCGTCCCGGGCGATTTGGAGTGACATTGCTTTACTTGCTGTCCTACCATCTTCCCCCAAACACAATCCACCGTCGTTGTGATTGTATAGGACTGGAAAGATAGATTGTATACATTCATGACGAGTGTGCATTGTGTTCCGGGAAAGATGGTAGTTGTGCTTACACTTGCCGCCCCAGGTGTCGCTGGCTCCTCTATCCTGACAGCAGGGTGTTTATGCAACTGCCAAGTGCCAATTACCAAGCTTCTGTGCTCTTTTTTTCTCAGCTTTTTACTAGGAAAATCAGTTCAAACTTAAAGCTGCAAAACTCTGGGTGTAGTCTTCTTAAATATGGACATCAGCTGACTCTGAAGTACCTGCCTATCTCTCAAAAAAGGTAAAGAAAAAAGGAAAAGGAAGGGGTATGCCTAACATTATTGTATGTACTATTTACTATTTACTATTTAGTAATTTTAATTACTATTACCCTGCTAAGCCTGCTTCCATCAGGATTTGAACTGACGACGTTTACTAACAGTTACATTTGTGTACCATTCAGCCACATGATTTGAATCCATGTGCGGAATGAATTTTGCTTGCAATGTGCGCTAGGTGCAGAATCTCAGATAGCATTCGTCATGAGGAGGCTGTGGGTCTACAGGTCGGCAATCGCGCATGGGCTTGACTGCTTAAATGTGACTCTCTGCAATGCTGAGGGTGCCAAGCGGATACCTTTGAAGATGTCTCATAATGATAGTGTCTTAAGTTCCTATGACGGTATGACCCAATTCCCGAAGGTATTGTTAGCACATGAATTGCAACATATAGCATAACCCCCCCAGATATCCATCCATTGCGATAAACTCTGATATCCAAAGAGGATTACCCAACTTCTTTTCATAACAACCCTGGTGTCAGTCCACATCTTCAACTCGACAAGTTGGCAATGCTCTAGAACTGTCTGAGGCACTGCTCTCTCTCTCTCTCTCTCTCTCTCTCTCTCTCTCTCTCTCTCTCTCTCTCTCTCTCTCTCTCT